ACCCAAGTCTCATACCAGGACAGGCCCTTCCCTCCAGTCCTCCAGCCCTTGTGAGCATATGGCCGACGGCTCACACATAGGTCCTTCATCCCCAGAAAGTCTTCATAGGTCAGCTCTGCTGGCCGTGGGCCTCTGTGCACTGCTGTGGAGGAGAAGAGGACGGGAAAAGGAAGAAGGCAGTCACTGTCCTTTGAAGTAAAGAAACTAGGTCTCCGAGAGCTTACAGGGACTAGCCAAGGTCACCGAGCTGGTGAAACTCAGAGCCTAGAAAAGACCAGGGCAGCAGTCTGTCCCCAAGTAGACAGAGACAGAGGGACAAAAAGGGAAGAGCCTGCCAAGTGGCCCCAAGTAGTGCCAGAGTTTGGCAGGCTGTTTGGGTAGGGAGAAGGTAAAGAACTGGTACAAGACAATGAGCCATCCGGGACTGTGCGGGCTCCTCCCTGTGCTGTGCTACTATCTGCAGCCACAAGGTGGAGCACCTTCCAGCTTGAAGCCAGGAGCCTAACTTAGCAACTTGGCTCCAAGGGGTGGGCAGTTTGATTGCGCCCTCATCCTCTTTGCACTGGCTCACTACCCCCAGCTCCCATGCCAGGCTGGCAGCTCAAAGCCTGTTTTCTGCCACCCCCATGAAGCCTGGCGAAACCGTTAGAAAACACCTTTTATTTCCGGGGACAGAGTCTCCAATGGTCACAGCCAGAGTTGGGGTGCAGAGTGGAGAATCTAGAGCAGAACCCTCCACGAGTCATACCACATCACATCCATGTTCCTTCCAGTCAAGATGCCCAGTAGTCCCACGTCACGCTGTCATGGGAGCAGCCTAACACAGCAGGGGTTGGGGTTTTCCTGGAAAACAGCTGTTTCGTTGGTGGGCGCTCTCACTCCAGAGGGCATTTCGAAGTCAAGGAAATATGAAAATTAGATTTCTAGATGACATCTGAGTGCATACTGAGCTCCTGCTCACTGAGTGCCTATAACGGGGAGAACAGGCACTGTGCACAGGTGCATATACAACTGTGTGGCACCGCCAGACTGCAGCCCTAGCTGCACAGGCTTCTTTTCTTTCTTTTTTTTTTTTTTTTTTGATTTTTCGAGACAGGGTTTCTCTATGGCTTTGGAGCCTGTCCTGGAACTAGCCACCACCGCCCGGCTATGCACAGGCTTCTTGATTCCCAACACTTTCTTAGAGCCCCTGAGCCCTGATCTCCCCACAGGCTGCTGCTTACCTCCTCTGGGTGGGGGGTGGGGTGGGTAAGAGATTGAGACCCAGTCCCAGCTGCCATGGTTACAGAGGCCAGTTCACTCCCGCACCTTACAGACACAGAAACTGAGGTTCTAGGGCGGCGATTCTCAGTCTGTGGGTCACGATGCCTTTGGGGGCCACGCATCAGGTATCCTGCATAGCAGGTATTTACAGTACGATTCATAACAGTAGCAAAATTACAGTTATGAAGTAGCAATAAATAATTTTACGGTTGGGGCTCACCACAGTGTGAATATTTAAGAGTCGCAGTGTTGGGAAGGTTGAGAACCACTGCTCTGGGGATTCCGGATTTTGTGTGAGTTGTGCCACAGCAAGTTCACTGGTCTCTCTCCAGTAAGAATGGAATAAGCTGTAGATCAGGCTTGTCTGATGGGCTGGGCTCTGCGTGTCCCAGGGGTGCTGTAACAGTGAGTTCGTCTCCTCTCGCTTTTACATTGTTCTCTTATGCTGGGAAGACAGAGGATGGCAGTTACTCTTGATTCTTGGACTCTGAGGTGAGGATGTAGGGACAAGAAGGTTCAGCTGGCCAGACTGCAAACAGGTTCCAGCTACCTTCCGATAGATGCCAACAAGACTCAGGAGCTGGTGCAGCTCCGACCTTTGCTGTCCCTCCACGTCTAGCTCGCGAGTCAGTCAGTGGTGACTCTATTGATTCTCAGTGTGTGGCCTTTAGCATCAGGTGACCTCTGGGACAGCTGGTGCAGCCGAGATTCCCTCACAGTTCTGAAGGCCAAGTTCAAGGGTGTAGAGTCACGGCCTTCTCTGTCTCCATATGGTCACCCCTTTGTGTGTGTCTGTTCCTGCTGTCCTCTTATAAGAACCGGGCAGACTAGACTGGAGCTGGCCTTTGGGACCCCACTGGCCTTACTGGCCTCTGTGAAGACCCTGCCTTCAAATGTAGTCTTGTTCTGAGGTCGGGTGGATGAGGACTTCCATATCCAGATTTGTGAGACACAGTCCAGAATACGATAAACAAGGGAGCATGGTTGCGAGGAGCCGCTGAGTAGATGGTGGGCATGGGAACATCAAGTTCCCCTTGGGGCAGTGTATTCTAGAATGTACCACTATTGACCAGTTTTGTTCCCCACCAGGAAGTGGCTGGGAGTGGGTACACAGGGGCTGTTTGTCTACAGTTGGGGGGAGGGGACGGGATAGGACTCCTGGGAAAGCCCTAGAAGTCTGTCTCCCTTGGGGGGGCTCCTGTTCATCTCCTTATCCTAATCAGTCAGGCAGAGAACTTTTCCTGAGCAACCCCTCTGTGTTCTGTCAGGGTGGGGGCTGGCTCCCTTCCTGATGGGCTGCTGCTATGTTCTCAGGTGACTCACTTTGTCAGGAAGCCCCAGCAACACGCAGGCCCCAGCCAACGCTGCAAGAGAATGAGATATACTACAGGGATAAGGTCAGGGAAGATTCTCCTTGGGGTCAGGAGCTGGGGGTGGTGCCTGTCTACAGAGGGAGGAACAGGAAATCAGAGAGAGAGAGAGAGAGAGAGAGAGAGAGAGAGAGAGAGAGAGTGTGTGCGCGTGTGAGTGGAAGTGAGGGGCGGGGGCTTCCTGTAACTCCCTGCAGAGCGCCCTGTGCAGCTCCCTTCTGAAGCTGTACTGGCCAGACGGCTTCAGGCTGTCCCGTGCGGTCGTGAGGGCCTGCCCAGTGCCATCCTCATGAGAGCTGTGTAGCAGGGAATTGCCCTTCTGTCTTAGTTACTTTTCTATTGCTTGAATGAGATACCATGACCAAGGCAACACACAGATGAGCGTTTAATTTGGGACTCACATGGGTTTATCCCTGACCATCACAGCAGGAAGCACAGCAGGCAGGCAGGAATGGCGCTAAGGCGCTAGCTGAGAGCTTACATCTTAAGACACAGCCATGAGACACAGAGAGAGCTGACTGGGGATAGTGTGGGCTTTGGAAACCTCAAACCCAGAGACACACCTCCTCCAACGAGGCCACACCTTCTAATCCTTCCTAAACAGTGTAGGGGCCAAGCATTTAAACACATGGGCTCCTGGGGCCATTCTCATTGAATCCCCCATGCCTCGCATCAAGAGTCCCCTCATGTAAAAGCAGCGTCAACCATAAAGCAATCCTGAGGGTGACCAACACGCCACACTGGTGCGCTGGGGATTAAGCATGCAGCGCAGGAACCTTGGGGACACATTTAAACTCTAGCAGGAAGGGACACCTACATGACTGCATGGGGCCTGTCCTTGTAGAAGGTGTCCAGCTGAGTTCACGGGAGAGGGGTGTTGGAATGGCTCCTGAGAACTCTGGCTTCATGGGAGGCTACAGCCATTTTTTTTTTGACCCAGCCGGCCAAGGCAGCTTTGGGGAGTGGACTCTTCGGAGTTAGGCTAGCCGGCTGGTAGGGGCAGAGTCGAGAAGCTCTGTCTGGGAGGTTGTGACTTAGGCACTGACCCGAAGGCAGGAAAGTGGATCTTGTGTTTGGGGGCAACCAGAGTCCTGTTTTGCTGGAAGACAAAGAGGAAGCAGGAAAAGCCAGAGGGAGGAGGAGCCAGCAGGATTGGCGTGGCGTTGGGCTGGGATGCCACACAAAGGTGACTCAGAGCAGGTTCCTGCCCAAAGTAGCTCTCCTCTTGCCAAGACCAAAGCCCTGCAGGCAGCTTCCCCTGGCACCTCACCCTGCCAGCCAAGAGCCATGGGATAGACCCCACATTGTGCCGCTCTTGGGTATTTCTGAGACCACTGCTTCTCATTCTGCAGAGAGGAGAGGGCTCACCCACTAGAGCCCACCTGAATGCCAGTCCCTGACCCTGATACAGAGGGCTGTCTGGAAAGCAGGGAATGCTGGAGGACACAAGGGGCCTGGAATCCTGTCCCCAGGAAGCTTCAGGAGCCCTTGAGCTGGGGTGTTTGAGACATAAAGTAGGGCGCAGTTCTGAATTGAGAGGGTAGGAGGTGACTGTTGCAAGTTCAGCATCAACCCGTACAGGCAGAGCCTTAGGCCTGTGCCTGCATGACCCTGGTGGGAGAGGCCGGCAAAGTCAGCAGAGCAAGCCGAGAGGCTTGTGTGCTTTCTCAGCTTCCTATGCTCCATCTAGTTCAAGCCTGAAGCTGGCCTCCTGGGTCAGACCCCATAGGGTGCTACTGGTTGGTTCTCCAACCTGGTGAGGCCTGGGTTCTGGAGGGTGCTGTCTTTACCTGGTCCACTAGTTATCTTTCCGGGAGCTTGTCAACCCTTGTTTCTGAAAGGTGAGTCAAAAGAGGGGGAGGTGTCTATCAGAGATCTCAGTTTCCAAGGTAGTGCCTGGGCTGGCGCAGGCTTCCTATGGCTTAGGTGACATTTAAAAGTGTGTGGAGACATTCCTGGCTAGGTACTGAATGGGGGGAGGAGGGAGGACTTGCCCACTGCCCCCTCCCGGTGCAGATTCCACGTCAGTTTCCCAGGGAGGAGCTGTGCTCTGGGTCCAGCCTGGCGAGGCCAGGACAAGTATTTCTCCTCCAAGTGCAGGTCACCACTGGCAGCAACTGTCAAGTCCACACACCAGAGCGAAGCGACAGTGGCGTGCACGCTTGCGCGCGACTGTGTCCGTGGCTGCGACTGGCAGGCGGCCGCGCGTGCGCGTGGGTACGCGTGGCGAGGGCCCACGTGGGTCACCCAAACAAAGACGGCGCCGCGTGATCGGACCCGCGCGCGCGCGAACCCGGCAGGGCGGGCAAGGAGGCGCGGGGCGGGGCGGGGCGGCGGCTGCGCAGGCCCGGCCGGGGGCGCGCAGACTCCGCGCAGCAGGACGTGAGCGCGCGACGCGGCGCCGCCTCCGCGCTCGTGGCCGGCACCCGCGGGGCCGCGTAGTCCCCGCTCCCCGGCGCCGCTAGGCTCCCGGGAGGGCGGCAGGTGCAGCGGGGCCGGGTGGCCGGCCAGGGGGGCACCGCAGCGGCGGGTGGATGAGAGTTGGCCCCGATCTCCCCGCAGGGTAAGCGGCGCGCACGCGGACTCCTACACAGACCTGGGCGACGCTGGCCAAGCTCTGTCCCGGCCGCCGGGCCGCGTCCCTGTCTGTACGCTGTGCTGTTCTCACTCGGTGGCCCACAGCGGCGACCCTCCTTTCGCGGACGGGCGCGGGCTCGCCCGGCACACACGCCCCCGGGGCGCGTGTCACGGCCACCCCTCGCGCGCACCGCGGGCGCTGTGCGGGTCAGGGTCCTGCTGGGCGAGAGGCAGACGTCGATGGGACGTTAGGGGCCCAAACTACTGTGTGTGGGAGTCTTTAGATGGGTCACCATGCCTAGGCCGCTAGCGGGGAACAGGATGAGGGCGCAGCAATTGTCGTCCTACTGACCCACTCTTGTGGGGGTGGGTGAACTGGAAAGGGGGAGGGCTCTCCAGGCCGGTGAGGCCCAAGAGATGACCTGGAGGAAAAGTTGTGGACGCTTTCTCCCTTTCCCACGCTCTGCTTTCTGTGTGGCTTTTCCCCTTTTCTTTGGACATTAGCTTGTGGGATCCGGGGGGACAGTTGGCACTTGGCTGGAGCTTAGGCCTGTGTGTTTATTACAACCGCTAAGGTGGGATTCTGTGTGGCGGTCCCCAGCCTACGTCCTCACTTGTCCACAGCGGGTCTGGCACCTCTGAAGGTTGAAGAGGGGCCAGTCTGGGTGTTGGTTCCCCTGTCCTTCCCTACCTGTGGCCCAGTAGTAGGATGAGGAGCAGGCTTCCAGGGCTAGAGACAAGCTGGTACACTTTGGAGCTTCCCCATTTCCAGAGGTAGGAGATTCAGTATGGGGGAGACTTTTTTTTTAGGGAGTGTTCTCTTCCTTCCTTGCCTCTGTAGATTAGAGACAAATTCAAGTTCTAAGGTCCTGAGTCTCAGCCCTCCACAGTCCTGACGCCCAGCTAGGCAGAGGGATTTGCTTTAGGGTCAGACCCAAGAGGAGGGTCATGGTCTGTGCTCTGTAGGGCTTGAAATAAAGGACAGCTGGAAGTTCCTTTTTCTTATATACCTGCTCTGTGACATTGGGCAAGGCAGTGAGCGTCCCCTGCCTCAGTTTCCCCATTAGTGAGTGACGAAGAAGATAAGAGGATTAATGATACGACATAGGTTCAATGCTGGCCAGACACACCCTCGGTCAGGAATCAGGCCAGGCTGTCCTGCCCTTTGCCTCTCTGGTGACCTTAGTGAACCCGCAGATATCTGTAGAATCTTCTTTCATTCTGCCACCGCCCAACCTGTTCCCAGGCCCGTTTGGGGACACACAGCCTGGCGCTGTGAGGGTGTTTTATTATCCCTGCCCCATGCTAGGATGAAACCACAACCTACAGATACCCTCTGGGACATCCCAACTTGAGGTTCTCAGTCAGTATGCCTGCTCCTTCCTCCTTCCCACGCCACTTCTGGAGGTTGGAACCCCCTAGTTTTGCTGTGATACTGAATACTGAACTCCCAGGGAGAATGGGCTAGGTACCAATGACTGGGGGGGTTGGATGCCCACGACCACATACTTCCCTGTTCTGCTTGTTTTTCCTCAGTGTACTGGCTGATGGTAGGGAGTGTGGCTATCCTCACTGGTCCCAGTGATGTCTGTTTGAGTTCATGCTAGGATTTATATCTCGCAAAACCGTCCGGGACAGTCTCAGAGTTGAGATCTGTTTCTACACAGCTTGGGCACCTCTTTAGCCTGTGCCTCCTACCCAGGCAGCCAGAGGGGCTTTGCAGGGGTGCCTCTCCTAGGGAAGGACCAGTGGTCTCTCTCTCTCACCAAACCTTCTGGGCGTCTCTGTTATCTGTTACCCTGGCTTACCCGGACTGGCGCCAGCAGTCAGAGCGGTTGCCAGTGCCAGCAGCGATGGCCTCTGCTGCCCTCATTCTTGCTGGGCTTCACCTTCACCACCTAGAAAGAGGAGACTCAGACCTGTTTCCTGAATCGACATTTCCACCTCACAATAGAGAGCACTCGCACAATGGAAACAGTGCCATTGAAGGCCCTGCAATGCTCTTGGTAGTGCTGGCATGGCCTCAGCATGGCTCCGTAAGGAGAGCACAGCAGGGAACTTACAGGTGTTTAGAAACACCAGCTCCAGCCGTGCCACGTTTGGACAGACGCAGAATCCATGTCTGGAGAACCAGAAAGGCTCAGTGTTCTGATGTGGGATCCTTGTTGGCTCTTGTGCTACCTGGTGTCCCTTCCTTCAATGGGGACAATACGTAGAAGCCCCATCCAGTTGCCCATGCTCTGGTAGGGTTTCTCTCTAGAAGCCTGACCTACTGAGCCTTTTACAGGATTGGGGGTATTTATTCTGGGGTGAAGTATCTCCAGCCAGAGGCTCATGTTTGGTGGCCATCCTCTCTTGGGGAGCTGGGCAGGTTCTCTTCCTGAACAACCCTGTCCCCTCTACTCTGGTGTTTGGCCTTCTTTTTGTTTCAGGATGGGGACACTTAGTGTCTGTGGTGGCAGCAACACCTGTTAGTGGGGATGCTTCTCACTTGTGTACGGTTGGGTTACCTTTTCTGAGTCCCTGCATTCTTTCCGCAAAGTAGACTGCGAGGGGACAGGCGACCCTGTTAGCAGCGAGAGGCGTGTCTGTGCCCACTGGTGTAGGTGACTTCAGGGACAGCTGCTTACAGCTTTGCAATGGATCACTGGTGTCCTATGTGGAGAGCGGTAATCGTGAATCCAGGGAGATAAGATGGGAGCCTGCGAACAGAGTCACAGGTGAATGCAGATGAACTTACTCTGAGATAGATCTTCTTTCCCTGGCCTCAGGTGGCCATGTCTAGGGAGGCCGACACCCTAGAGCACCCCAGGGCAGTTTGACCATAAATGTAGGTTCTGGAAGATTGGATACATGAGCCCTGCGAACTATCTGGGGGCTATGGTGGTGCCATAGTGGCTCTGGGGTTGCTTTGGGCAGAACTAGAAAACAGTGCTTAGAAAGGGGGTGAAAGTCCAAGTCTTCATCAGCCAGCTGTGGGGAGGAGGCCTGCAGGGAGGAGGCCTGGATTCCATGTGCAGCCCAGTCCAGGTGGGTGGGTCCGAGGCAGCTGTACCTGGCCTGAGTCTGTGGCTGGTGGAGAAATGTCCAATAAAGCAAAAGAACAGATGTGATAGACCAGAGTTTCCTGGGGTGTCTGCGTGTGGCCAGTACCGAAGGCCTGGGAGGGGACTTTAGGCTGTAAGTCACCACTAATAACATTTGACATCGAAAAGCCATTGTTAAGACTGTTTGGTGTTTGAGTTATAACCAGGGTTGTGATTCTACTTAAGCCTGTGATTAAAGTCCCCTGTGGTTCTACAGGAAGACAGGAAGTATTGGCCTATCTGAGAAAAAAAAAAAAAACAGTAGCAGGAGACAGACGCGTCTCCCAGAGTCATCTCACCCCCGCACACTTATGCTACCATCACCAGGTGAGGAAACTGAGGCACAGAGAGGGAGGGGCACCAGCTTGCTCGAGTGCTGGCGAGGTCTGTGGCAGAGCTCGGGTGTGAGCCTGCGTGGTGGCTTGTGGCAGAGCGGCTCCAGGGCCCCGTGGTAATCCTGTAAAGCTGAGTTTAGAGGGGTCATGTGGCGTTCACGGCACACGGCAGCGTCTCTCACAGGGCCTGGTGACAGTCCCGTGAGAGAGACGTTCTCGTGGTTTGTTTCTGTGGCTCCTGAAGCTCGGGCTGTGGTGGGCTCCATCTCACAATAAGGGTTCCTCCAATACAGAGAAGTTTGGGGCTTTCCCCAAGATACAAGACTTTGCCTCTTTTCCTGTTTGCCTCCCATGTAGAAAGTGGGCTTTTCAAAGCTAGGGTCTCTCCACACTCATGTAGCGCCATGTTCCTTGTGTTCGACAGCCTCTAGTGAGCTGTCATGGCACTGAGTGACCATTGCGCTCTGCCTTCCCTGGGTCATTTGGCAGTTCATGCCGAAGGGACCCCAGCTTTAGGGTCCACCCTTAGTTGTGCCAGGAGGGACTAAGCACTTTGACAGCTGCCGCAAGGAGGGAACAAGACCAGGAGAGAGCTTCTTCTTTTTAAGTCTTTGTTAATTGTAATTCACACACCACACTACCCACCCTTTACAGATACAATTTACTGCTTTTTAAACCGTTCATAATCTCATCAACCATCACCACAATCTAGAGGATGTTTCCAGAAGGAGGCAAGGACCGGATAGCTGGTACCCCACAGCCTCTTTCCGTAGCTGAGGCCACCACCATGCTAGTTTAGCTATGGGTTTGCCTTCTCTGGAGTCTTTGTGTACCTGTAATCACAGGGCGGGTGGCCTTTGTGTCAGCTTTCCTTGTTCACTGTGGATGTGTTGTGGTGGCAGTTGTGCCTGTTGTGACCCCTCCCAACTCTCCCCACTCCTTCTCTACCCCCTTCCCATCACTGCAACCCCTCAACCCCTTCAACTCCCCCATCCTCCAATCCCACTGACCATGGTTCACTTGTTACTGTTTGGGGACCAGTGTCTTACATTTATTTACGTTTGTATTTGTGGGTACATTCATGTGAAGGCCAGAGGACAACTTTTGGGAGACACGTCTCTCCTTCTACCATGTGGGTCTCCATCCCTAGGGATGGAATGCAGGCCATCAGGCGTAGGTGGCCGCTTCACCATCAGCCTCTCACATGGTTATTGATGAAGTCCTTTGCTTGACAGGTTGTCTTCATTTTTGCCTCCTGTCCTTGTTTTGATCCCAGAACTCCATCCGGGTCCCACATATGTCTGGTTGTCACATCTCCTTAGGCTCCTCTTGACTCGGTTGACTCCTGGAGATGTTTGGTGGGCTGCAGGGCCCTGTGTTGAGAATCCCCTTTTGAAATGTAAATGTTTTTGTCATGATTAGTCTGGTGAGACTGATGGCTTGGGAAGGGCAGCATTCTCAGTACCTTTCAGTGTGACTCATTGCTGTTGGTGTACCCCTGGCCTAGGTATATTTGTCAAGAGGCCTCTGTGTCAAGGCCCTCCCTGCCACACTCTTTGGAAGGA